TGCCTTGAAAATCGAGTTACGGAACATAGTAAATCATATGTCCCATACTTGATTTTCAAGGCAAAGACCCCATATGTTTTGTTCGAACAATATCAGTCCGTTCTATAATATGTTGTTTTGTTTCAACATTAAGAGATCCAAACTGGCCAATTATTATAGTACTATATCTTTTTAATCATTTCTTTCCATATACTATTTTTTCCACATATAATTATTGAACATTAACTCTATTTTTGGCGCCATTAACGATAGCTTAAGGACAATGACATTCTTAACTTCAGAACATCATATATTTCTGTCAAAATTAGACATCATAACCTTACAATTGGATACTTTTATTAAAAAAAATAAGATCATAAGTCGGAGATAATTGCCAAAATCATAAATAAATTAAAAGAGGAATAGTTCAAAACCTTATTATGAATTCTTAACTAGTATTTTAAAAAAACCTATCGCTATATGTTCTAAAAAATAAATTGAGAAAATTTACATAAACCATTAAAAAAAAAAAATCAAATCAAATCAAGATTGACCATTTCCATTTACAGAAAATTGGCCATCAGGAAAAAAATATTCAAAAAATTCTTTATTTGAAATAGAGAGGGCAACTTCTTGGATTTTCATATGTTCCTCTTTGATTTTCATTTGATCTTTTAATGCGGCAACTTCAGAACGAAGATTATCGTTTTCTTGAGTAAGAGAAGAAAGCCGAGAATGGAGTTCCTGAATAACAGAATAATGCTGCAATGCCAAGCAAGAAATTTGATTTTCCAAAAAGGCAGCCCGAAGAGGGTTCTGTTGTTGTTCTGTGGACTCAGAAAGCCCAATACGAAAATTGTGAATGCCAGGTGCGGATGGATTATTAAAGGAAATGTTACCAGAGGACCTAGAAATCCTTGACGGTCGTTGAGTCATGCTTATAATCTGCTAAATTTAGCCAATTGGATTTACTCTGCAGTTGAACGTGATAAGGCCCTAGCTGTTACACCAAAAGAACATAAATGGGTTTCTATTTTAGCTAGATAAATATTATTAATCGTAAATCGTTAAATTTGAGTAGTAAACGTTGGAAATTTGGTCAATTTATAAGAAAACAAGAAAAAATAGCCAAAAAACTGCGTACAGCATATTGTCCAAGCACGGAAAAGAAAAATCATATAAAAAACATTAAAAAATTAAATAAAAAACGCGCAATCAACTTGGTCGTGTTCATTATTTCGGAGCAGGTGTTGGGCAAGAAAACTGCACAAGGGTACATAAAAACCGTTAGTTAGGAAGTTTGAATGCTAAAGGAGGAAAAATGATGACCAATGTAACGGTAGCATGACTGTTAAGGAATCTGATCGACACAACTGCTAACAATAGACAGTATCCCCAAAAATTCCCCCACTCATTTTCGCGGGTAATACAAGCTTCTAGAAAGGAAATGGCCAATCAAAGAGCACAAGTTTTGACAGCATTAAATAAATCGATTTTCGGCCTAAAATTGCATTTTCAATGAGGGCCAGTTTCAATAAAAACGTGGGTTGAACTCAACCAGCCCTTCTATATCGAGGTCAGGCCGCATCATTAATCGTGAACATTATCGTCATTGTGAAAAATTTTTCCAAGAAAGAAAGGTGAAACAATCAAAAAAAAAAGATATTTAATAAATTAGATGAAAACATACGAAAGAATTAAAAAACTCAGCTCACCTGAAACGAGAAACCATAATGAAAATATCAAATTGAAGACGTAACTATTTTGACACTCTTTTCCACAATAAACATTTCACAAACACTATGTGTTTGAAGCCAGCGAGTTATATATATTGTCGCGGCTGAAGCTGGAAACGGCTGAAGCCGGAAATTAGGGACCTTGATTTAAAAATAAAAAACCTACCAAAATCCACTTATACTCTTTTATTATTAAAACTACTACTAAACCCTAACCTAACCCTAAAAAAAACCCCTAACAAAAGGCCCAAAAAAATTTGTAAATTTCATATTACAGCTATTTTCATTATTCCTGGGACACCTATAAAAAAACTTGCCGAAAAATTTTTCAGCCGGTAATTTTTTCGG